AAAACTACTTACAAGTTTGAGTGATGAGTACGTCCGACGATCTCCGAAAGGCCTCCGAAGTTTCGACTCTTGTGCAATCGAGTGAGATTGATCATATAAATTATTATCGCGTATTATGTCCATTATCACTATTATAAAATAGATCAGAATAAACAAATCAAAATCACAGTTCACGAAACAGACATCCTTAATTCCCATTTCACGTAGCATTTTTTGATCGACAATCACGCCTCATGGCCGTAGAACAAATCACAGATCATGACAGTAAAATCAAGCATTTCACACGATCAAATATTGACCATTCACGCAGTGGCGTAGACAAGGGGGGGGGGGGCTCAGCCCCCCTCCCCAATAGGCTGATGGACTGCCCTTGTAAAAAGATGAAATCCGGGTAGAAATTAGGGGGGGGGGGGACGATGACTACCCATGTGACTACCAATCTCATCTGTTCACCAAATTGTCTATAAAAGTTCTAATCTTTCCTAAATCTAACTACAGAAAATAATGCCTATGGTGGTTATTGGTTAAAATGCGTTTTAAAACTTCGATTTAACTATTCACACGCGACCAAGTAAGCTTCGTTCAGTCAAATTAAGGATCCACATTATTGAGAAATCATTAAAAATCAGGTCTTTCCTGCAGTAAATAATCTTCAGAATTATGCAAAATCTCTCCCCAGAAACACGGGAAATCGCCATTGAGAGACTCCAGATTTCAAAATTTTCCCGGGGGAGTATGCCCCCGGACCCCGCTAAAAAGGCTTACACCTTCGGCGTTCGATATATACCCTCCCAAAAATTATAGTCTGGCTACGCCACTGCATTCACGGGTCACAAAAATACCCTTACCCACCCGGCTCATTAATATTTCTGAATTAATGATTCTGAATAAAAATCGCAGTTTATAATACGTATTGGAAACACTGATACGATTGGGAACCGTGAGAATTTGTATATAGATGCCATTACGCCAATGCAAAATGGGTTACACACTTTAATACACTTGATCCAATTTTGATTGGGACTATGGTCTACATTTCGTAGACCATAGCCCCGTATAAAATGGGCCAAGTATTACGAAAGTCACCGAACTGTGGAATCGCATCAAAAATTCGTATATCGACCACTCCCACAAACGTCTACGACCGCGCCTACATAGTTTTGCACGTGTACAATTCTAATTTTAAACAGCCAATTACCAAGAACCTGATTGGCTGTTCAAAATTAGAATTGTAAACATGCAAAACTATGTAGTCGAATGTAGGCGTGGTCGTAGACGTTTGTGGGAGTGGTCGATATACGAATTTTTGATGCGATTCCACAGTTCGGTGACTTTCGTAATATAAAATTGGCCAAGTATAAAATGGGCACCAGATCTAGAAGTCTCACTCAAGCAAGTATTTGTCCGCGTTTTTACAAGCGATTCGTCCGATCATCAATCACGCCATTCTGGCTAGTACAACCGGCACTTTGTACCTATCAAAACCTGATAAAAACTTCCGGCTGTACTAGCCAGGATGGCGTGAGCGAGTTAAAATTTTCGTGGGTTACACTTCTGCTAAACTTTCCTATTTTGTGGTTATATGATGTATATTCAAATACATTCTTCAACCGGAATATAACCATACGTGGTTATTATTGTATTAACGCTATAGTAAAAATTTAAAAAAATATCGTGCAAGCGGCAAGATTCGATAAAAAAAAATCGTGCGGAGTCGGTGAGGTCCAAAAAAAAATCGAGCACTCTCAAAAATGCGCCCCCCCCCATGAAAAATCAAATGGTCCGTCCCTTATGTACGGGTTACACCCTCGGCATCCTTTCGTAAGATGTTCGGAAATTGTCGTTGCAATGCAATATTTTGAATTACATGAAGTAGAAGGCATGATATTATCGAAAAAATAAAAATCAGCTAATTTTGATCCTTTTATGACTATGTCTGCGGATTGTTGTAATATAAATATGGGATATTGGTTGATGACAAGGTATTTATAAAACACAATCGTACTTTTCTGCCCCCTGTGTCTATTGTAGCATAAGAGCGAAGATAATCCGATGAGAAATTGTGTTTGTAGGTTAGAAAATACGGAATCTGCCGGAATACATGGAATAACTCTGAGAGTACAATATGCACCACAACAACCAGAGTATAAAATCACTTTCCAAAAATATTAATTAATAATTAATCATAAACAATTAATGGTTAATATCTATTAATCAATCATTGAATTTATTATTTATTGAAATAATTCAAGAGTTTTGATTGGCTAAGAGCTGTCGGTGAAATTGTGATAAAGGCCTCGGTTTGTGTTATCGGTAAAGGCCTCGGTTTGTGTTATCTGATCAGGCTTCGGCAGATAACACAACCTCGGCCTTAATAATTCCTCATATCCTACTCGACCTCTTTCAATAATTGTTTAATATGTGTTGTGTTATTAATTAGCCATATTAAATATGTATTAAAAATTAGCCGCATGCATTACGCAAGCTCTTTGATATGCATGTAACAAATGCATTAATGAAACGAAGTTTCGGCTATCACATAGCTAAAACTTGGAATAATCTGCCAACTGAACAGAAAGATCTCACAGTCACTGATAAAGAATTCAAACATAACATTAAAGGCTAGCTTTATCAGTGAAAATAGTTCATTCTTAGATAATTTTTCAAATTACCAGTAAATAGTTTTTCTATAATATTTTAGATAGTTTTTCTATAATATTTTAGTTCTATATATATATATATATATATATATATATATATATATATATATATATATATATATATATATATATATATATATATATATATATATATATATATATATATATATATATATATATGTATTGGGGGTAGAAATACGAGTGTCTCACGTATCTAGACGTGTACCAAGCTGCACTGACGAGGCGTTGAACGCCGAAACATGCATGTCTGCAGATTGTGCTATTACGCTCCTTCACTTCGGTGTTGTTGAGCACTCTGCGGAGTTGTTAATGGGTGTCTATTAGCGATAATGCAAAGCTCACTTCCCTTGTGGTCGTTTGAGCACTCTGGCCCCATTACCTCTGCGCATGTCTGGATGCGTTGAGTCACCGTGTTGTACCACATGCCTTGGTGAGAGCAAGTTCATGGGGTATAAATACGAGTGTCTCATGTATCTAGACGTGTACCAAGCTGCACTGACGAGGCGTTGAACGCCGAAACATGCATGTCGGCAGATTGTACTATATATATATATATATATATATATATATATATATATATATATATATATATATATATATATATATATATATATATATATATATATATATATATATATATATTAGTAGTAATTAGTCGTAAACATGGCCTTATGAAAAGCAACCTTAGTATGTTTTAATTAGTATGTTTGTGAAATTAAAACTATTCTATTTTATATATTTGCATTAGGTTGATAAGCTACCGTGTATAAATAATTTTAATAAATAAATAAATAAATAAATGTTGAAACTTCACACCATCTTTGGAACACTATAGCTGACTTTGTTCTTAACATCATGAAAAACAAACTTCTCGCAAGTTGAAATAAGTGTACATGCAAGTTGCGTTGACCATACTGGTCAGTTATTACTTTTAATATAGTTAATAATTAATAGTTTGTTATTATATGTTTCAACCGATTTCAGATACATTTTCACACAAATGTTCGGAACTTCGTTGCGAAGTTCGTAAGGAATTTAGGTGCAGCTTAGGCGGCTCAAACTGTTTGTTTTCAATCTTTTGTGTTGAAAACATTGTCGTAAATTGTGTAACGTGTCTTTTAAAGAGGGCCCCCTATACTTTTTGCGTGAAGCGTGATGGGCTTATTTTATTTAGCCGTGAAACGTGATCGATGATTTTCTTAATCCGTGATTCGTGATGGTATGACTTCCAATCTTTTTACGTGCACGTGAAGGAAAGATTCGATTTAACCGTGACCCGTGAATGGCAGATAGAAATATTCGTGATTCGTGAATCTTCTGTTTTGTGACCTTTTGTGTGATCAGCTTTCCAAAGAATAAATACGGTTTGTTGTTGTTTTTTGAAGTACTTGATGTACAGAAGCCTGTTTTCGACATAGTTGGAGGTTTGAAAGCATGTCGAGGTAAGTACAGACAAGTACAATGATTCTGCAATTAAGGAAGACATCCTATAATAATTCGTGAACTTTGTTTTATTTTTACGTGAATCGTGATGGAATTTTTTCAATTTTTCGTGACTCGTGAAAAGGCAAAATATTTTTACGTGAAAGCATTTTGTGAAGAGGTATAGGGGCCCCTCAAGTTTACGTATATTTATTCAATTTTGCTTCACTGTAATTACGTTATATACATGATTGATTGAAGTTATCTTTTCGAAGTTTTCCTTGATCTATATTTTAAAATTTAAATTTGGCAATTTCGGTTTTTAAATTAATATACCTTCCATTTTTAATATTGACAACAAATCCTTTCTTTCTCGAAAACCCTTTTTGCTAAGGCATCCATTATTTAAAAGAAATATAAACAAGGTTTCAGTTATTTTGACGGTGAGTTTTGTATGTTTAACACTCTTAACTTTCGACAATGCCAACAAGAATGCCAATGGCAATGACGACTTTTTTGCTGTCAAAAACATTACGCAATCATTAAAAGGTGGTTTTTGCCTTTGTTTGACCCAATATAAGTTTAAAAACCGGAGAAATGCATCCATATGTCTATATTTGTTTTAAATATGTAAATTGCAAACCCTGAACTTTATTTAAACTGTAGTTGCAGGTTTCGAAGTTAGCCGGTACAAACTTTTCCGGACCTGAACAACAAATGGCAATGGCGACTTTTTTACAGTCAAAAACATTACGTAAGCATTCGAAGGACGTTTTTGGCTTTGTTTGACCCGATATAAGTTTCAAAACGGGACAAGTGCATCCACAGGTCTATTTTTGTTCAAAATATGTAAATTACAAACTCTGAACTTTATTTAATTAAACTATAGTTGCATAGGGTTCGAAGTGGGGGCAACAGAAATGGCCATCTTCTAGTTGGCGCAAAAGTAATTTGGGCCGTCAAATTTTCAGTAAACATTATTGGGCGAATAAGTTACCAAATTGATATAAAAACTAGCCTATTCGATATATTACAATCTTGTGATTACACATATTTTGACCAAAAGGTACAAAAATAGTCTATTTTTCAGTTGCAGGGTTAGTTTTGCCAGCAAGTTTTCAGAATAATATGACAATAACAATTGCCGGCTAACGACATTCGTAATTCTGTCAATCAAATTCAGTAAACATTATTGGGCGAATAAGTTACCAAATTGATATAAAAAAATAGCCTATTCGATAGATTACAATCTTATGATTACACATACTTTCACCAAAGGGTACAAAAATAGTCTATTTTTCAGTTGCAGGGTTAGTTTTGCCAGCACGTTTTCAGAATAATATGACAATAACAATTGCCGGCTAACGACATTCGTAAATCTGTCAATCAAATTCAGTAAACATTTTTGGCTGAATATGATACCAAATTGGTATAAAAAATAGCCTATTCGAAAGATTACAATCTTGTGATTTCACATACTTTGACCACGAAGTACAAAAATAGTTTATTTTTCAGTTGCAGGGTTAGTTTTGCCAGCAAGTTTTCAGAACAATATGACGATAACAATTGCCGGCTAACAACATTCGCAATTCTGTCAATCAAATTCAGTAAACATTTTTGGCTGAATATGATACCAAATTGGTATAAAAAATAGCCTATTCGATAGATTACAATCTTGTGATTTCAAATGGCTTCATCGTCAAAGACAAAACAGGTTAAGTTTGTAGTTACAGGGTTAGT